AAAGTATTTTTGCAATTTAAGTTGTTAAAGTGTTGTAATTGGTAGTATAATATTAAGCTTGGCAAGTTCTTGGCTGTCAGTTGGTAAAATTGGTTTGTCTATAGGGTTTGCTTGCATTATATGATCAGGTAGTAGGAACTGAACATAATAACATTAAGAGATTTTCTTAAAAAATGTTTTTCCTATTGTATCATCAATTATTGAATAGGTAAAGTATAAATCTATGTAAATGTTGTCAACTCCCAAGTGGCAGGTCTAGAGTTCAAATCCTAGTAACAGCGAAAATTTGCAATTCTTTCTGTGTTACAGCTAACTGTCTTCTGTGATTAGTTGGGATAGGATATCTGTAACCCATGTCATACTAGCCTGACTGGAAGGTCTAGGCATTCATGCAATGTTGTATGAAGGAACACAATCTGGTACTGGGCAGTGTAAACCCAAGATAAGTTCTTAGGCTGTGTAAATCATGGGAACCAGGTAGGAGGACGGAAGCCCACTTAGAAGACCCGAGTAAAGAGGTAACCCAAACTTTCGATGGTGCTACTGTAAGACTAGACCTATGAAATGGAGCTAGAACTTGTGAAACTGGACAAAAAGCCAGCCTTTGAGAAGGGGCCGAATAGAACAAACCAGGCCGCCAGAATTTCTGGGTTTTGGAGGAAAAGGTTATATGCTGGCAAACATGTAAACCAAAAGTGTATGGTTACGACCTGCCTTTCCAGGCTATCTGGTTTGGGAGCTTGGTAGAACTTGAATTGAATACCAAAGTAATAGGAATATGTTGTGAAGTCAGTATCGGGGTTGGGGTGAACTTTACAAGGGCATAGCAGTTTAATGTTACACTCTAACTGCCAGTGTTGGTCTTGGCTATAGCGATATCAGGTCAGCTGAAAGAATGAGATACAAAAGATTCTGAAAGGTATAATACAAGGTCAAAGGTTCCTCATGTGAGTAAACTGCTTTAAAGACTTAGTGACTATGGCATATTTGAACTGGTATCAACCGGGGCATCTTGGTAAGTGTAGGTAAGTGGGTGGATACGGGAACAGAGTAGTTAAATAGGGAACCTACAAGCAGGTTCCAGGTATGGCAGCTAGTGTAGAACCTTTGGGCTGACTACTTAAATTAGACAATAACTAAAGTTGTACGAGTGGTTAGTTGTACAATCTTTCCATAGTTGCCCCCTGTGGTTGTAATGCAACTATTAGCTGAATGTCTATCAATAAAATCCTGGGTCGCAAGTACTCACCTTATTATTTAAAAAAAAAAATAAATAAATCTATGTAAATAAATTCAGTTTTAGTTGACAAGGATGGTTTGGTAATAAAATAATTACTAGAAAGTAGTTAAATATGTAGTATTCTTTTAATTGTATTACAGCCTTAGCTAATAATACTTTGGATATAAATGAGTTGAAGAAAAAAAAACTTCTAACTTTATAGTTTAGTTTCTAATATGTAATAGGCAATAGTTTTTTAAATAGTAGAAGCTAAAAATAAGAGATTAAAATTGTAGTAAAAGTATAATAATCTGCCAGTTTGCATCTAAAGTATAAAAGATATTGTAATAATTATTTGTTTGATATTTGAAAATAGGTTGATAGTTCTAAAAGAAGTTCTTGGTATCTTTTAGATAATGTAAAAAGGTTTGCAAAATAGTTGTCTATTAATTTATTGAACTTGTAAATTTTTCTTGTCCATTAATAGTAGCCTTTGTATATAATCTTTGTATAATTATAAGTGTAAATAGTAGGATAGCTTTGATATGTTTTGGTATTTTACTAAAGTCTTATAGTAGTAATATGAGTTTTTTTTGAAGTGCATTAGTGATTACAGCTCTAATTTTCTTGGAAGTTTGTTCATTTTTATTTTGAATTTGCAAGAAGCAACTTACATAATAGATAGTTTTGTAGATCATAAAGGTAATATAAAAGGTATGATTAAGATTAGAGAGATATTATATAATAAGCATTTGCTTGAGCATAGTATTGATGGTTTTTATATAGTTGCATTTGTAATTGTAATTTAATTAGTCTGTTTATATATAGCTAAAGCATTATTGTATAGGTTAGTATATTTTTTTTAATATGCAGAAGTAGTATTTGGGTTTCTGATAAAAGTAATAAAGAACCTGGTGTCAAGGTATCTAAATTTAAGAAATATTGCTGATGGAATTACAAATTCAGTTGATATAGTAACTAGTTTATAATTAATGAAATTCTGAATTCTAGCTAGTGTTTGAAGTGTTTTAGCAATTTTCTCATATGATCAAGTTTGTTAATCAAATAAAGTATTGATTTGGTCTGTAATTCTGAACTGTATGGTCTCTGCCTATTCTGAGTTATTAATATTATTAAACCTAAAGATGTTAAGTTGTTTTTGAGTAATTTAGCTATATATAGATCTGGTATTATCAAGGTTATAAGATATTGTGGATGTAAAGATTAGTGATACTGTAGCTATAGTATTGGATAGTCCTAGTTCAGATATTGTAGTTTTAAAGATTAGTGATGCTGTAGCTATAGTATTGGATGGTTCTAGTTTAGATATTGTTTGTATATTAAGTAATTGAATCTTAAATTATTTTTTACTTTGATGTAGACTAGATGTTGATTAAGTTTTAGAAGACTTAGTTATTTGTCTGATAGTTTTGGTAGGGTTGTGTTGTAAGACAGAAAGGTGTTTGTTTCTTTTAGTATTGGTGTTTTGTATAGCCTAAGCAGTATTGTGTTATGTAGTAGCTAATGATTATGTTTGTTTAATGTTTGTTGCAAGACTAGCTGTAAGGCGAATGTTAGCTTATCACCTTGTAAAATATTGCTTGTTTGTGATAGTTCTTATTATCTTGTAAAATATTGCTTGTTTGTGATAGTTCATTTTCTATATCTAGTTTTGTAATTATATTGTATAGTATAAGTAAGAGATCTTTATTAAATTTAAATGTCTTAAATTCTTTTTGGTTTTTTTTTATATAACTGAATTGTTAAATTAAGATTACAATTATATTTGCTTCTAGAATATTTGACACTAATATTTATAGAGTTGTTTCTTGTTGTTATAAGATCAAAGAGTATTAATTAGAAAGATTCTTTGTGTTTATATAACCATTAGGTTGAAAACATAGTAAGGTTAGATATGTGATCAAATTTGATAAGATTTATAGTAAAAAGATATTTGTTAGTGAAGCTAGAAATAAGAAAGGTAACTGTAAAGGTAAGTTTAAATAGGTTTTTTTAGTAATATTGATGAATTTTTTTACATATTCAATAGAAAGATTAGCAGTTAAGATTGTGAATATAGGATTACTTTAGCTGTTAGATTTTCTAGTAAAATAAACTAATTAAGAAAAAAAAATATCTTGGAAGTTTGTTTGGTTTGAAATTTGTGATAGGTTAGTTTTAGATTATCTGTAGTTTTTTTGCTATTTTTTGAAACTGCTATTTTTTAAAACTGCTATTTTAAATTTATATGTTGAGTTAATAAAGATATAAAGGTTCTCAGGACCACTTTTGCTAAAATACGAGTTGTTTATTATAGTATCATTTTTAATGTTATTGTAATTTAGAACTACTAATAAAAATTTTTCTTGAGATTTGTATCTTTTTTAGATTATGTTTACTATATAGAACAAGTTTAATTAATAGTCCAAAGTTGGTTTACTTAGTAGTTATTGCTTTATTTTTAATAAAAAATTTTTTTTCTTTTGTTTAGTTTTGGTAAAGTAATTTATAGAAAAAGTTTATTATAGCTATAATTTAGTCTATATACTTTATCAGTAAATATGGTATCAAAATTGAAAATAAACATGTTTTAAAATAGTAATCATAATTGTACTAGCAAAATTAAAAAATAAATAATTTATTGGACTTGTAATTCTATTTTAATTTTAAGTATACTAAATAAATATTAAATAATTTATATACATATTTAGTATCAATAGTCAAGACTTACATTATTGATTAACTAAATTAATATTATAAGAATAAGCTTTATTGGTTTAGTCAACTAAATAATAACTGATAAATATCAATCTAAGAATGATCTTTGACTAATCAAATTGATTAAAGAAATAATTCAAGATGTGAAATATTATAATAAAATTTTTAGATACTCTTATTTTAAGTTTAAAATAGATTTAAATAAATTTTAAATTTACAAAATTTTGAATTTGGTATAATATTATTGAATCTCTTAAAATCAATATTCTTAAAACTGATAATCTGTTAAATTTGATAAAAAGTTAGTTTAATAATCTGTTCCCATTATATAAATTTAAAATTTTATAATAGTTTTAATTCTAATAACTTCTTGATACTAATATAAATCTATTTATTATGCAAATTGGTTTGATTCAATAATATATATTTTCAATTAAGAATCTTATAAAGTATATATATAATAATAAATTTAAAATATTGATTCCAATTTTTATTCATTTTTATTAAGAGTCAATTAAGCTTATTTTTCAAAATTTTATTAATTTAGCTATTTAATTTGACTAAGTTAATTAATTATATTATATATATTTATAAATATTAAGCATATATTTGTTAGAGAATTCAATTTAATTTTTTTTATATTCTTATTTTTTTTTTACTTGTTAGATAGAATTTATTTTAGTTAAAAAATCTTTTCAATAATAAGTTTATTTGAAATATGATTTAACCTGTAGTAAATATAAATTCTTATATTGAAATAAAAAGATATATTATGTAATGTAAGAAAAAAAAATACTTATTTAATAATTTCAAAAAAATATATATATATTACCTAATTTTGTTCTTTATATTTGATTTATGTTTTTTTAATATATTAAAAACATTAATTTTATATGCTAGTTATATTTATTTTTCATTGAAGTTAACATTTCTTAGTCTAAATTTTGAGTATTTTTTAATATTTTGTGTTATTTGTTCTTTATCTTTTCTTTAATTAAGAATAAAACTTTTTGATTTTTTCATAGTTTGATGCTTTTGGTTGAATTACTATTTGTTATAAATTTCAATTAATTGTAGAGTCAATATTTTCAATTTCTGGTTGGTATTTATATGATTCTTCAGTTCTTTTGCATTTTGCAGAAGTCTCACTTTCAGCATTAACTAAGTTTGATAATTGAATTACAAGTTTATTTTTTGAATTTTTAGTCATATTTTTGGTGAATATTTAAGAGTTTGGATTTTGACAAATTAATTAAAGTTTAATGGAGTTTAGAAAAACTTGCATTAAAAATTTTTTTCTTAATATTAGCATAATTAATATCTTTCATATTAATATAGAAGATTTCATCTATAACTTCTATATATTCAACTACAAATATAACCAATTTCTATAAATTGATAGTTGATTTAAGATGTTCAAATCATGAATTAGTATGCAAAAAAACTGTATTAATAATGTAACTGTAATCTAGACTAAAAGCATAATCTATTATGTTTATTTCTATTACTGAATCTTTAATATTTTCAATTACAGATATTTTTTCTTGAAGAGATTCTATGAATAATATTTTTAAAAGGCATTTACTTGATTCTGAATCTTTAATAATTAAATGAGATAAGGTCATGGCCAACATCTAAGTAACACTTATTATTTAATTATTTCTAATTATTATTAAAAATTTTAAATAATATAAAACTTAATTTTTTTAATACTTTTGGTCTTATAACACTAACATAATAATTAAGTATAATTTTTTCTTTAATGGAATAGTATTTACCTCTTTTATAAATAACTTAGATTTGAGGTTTCATTTATTAAGATTACATAGTACAAATAAGATCATTTCTATTTTACAGTCTTTATATCTAATAGGATACACACTAATAGCCTATACTGAAATCAATTTTGTATCTTTAGTTTCATTTTACTTAACATATTTGACTTTTACAATAGTGTAAAATAACAGGACATTGTTTTTTTTACAATAATTTATACTATAATAGTAACTTCAATATGTTCAATAAATACTTTGTTAACTAAAAAGAAATTAAAACATTTTTATATTTCACAAACATGCAAGAATATAAAATACTTTTTTTATATCAAAAAATTTTTTATTTTTTTACAAAACAACTTTTACTACAAAATTTTAGGAAATGACTTTTTTGATATAAAGATAAGTTCAGTCATTACTTTTCTTCACATAATCCTAAACTGCTAATCAAGACAGTTTTTTTATTTTCATCTGTCAAATCCCAAAGCTTCTAATTATTTTTATACACTTCCTTCAAAATTGCTTAGATTTACATTACTTATGTCAATTAATCATTTCAATGATGATCGCAGTGATCATGATTATCCACAAATATAGTGCTGTGTAAAAAAAAAAAATAATAATCAAAGATAAATATATCTATATACATCTAAATCTACTAATAAACATTCACCAATCATTCATTAAACCAGCAAATAATTAATCAAAAAGTATCCCTACCAATTATACTAAAGCATCTTTTTTTGTAAATTAATTCCTTTTTTATTCGGTAGGTGATCTATCGGATAATCCAATCACAGATCTTGATACTTATAAAGTATTGGTACAGATCAAACAAACTGGGTAAAATGCACAACCCAAATTTATTTCAGATTATGCGATATTGTTTTAATAAATTTGATATGATTCTGGCAAATATTTTTTCCTATATCATCTTATACAGGTCAGAATGACGTACCAAAACGATGCTCGTTAACATTCGGGTGGCAAATTTTACCCAGTTGAGCAAAACGCATGCACCAGTTACCCTGTCAAGTTCAAGAAAATTCTTGAATTTTCAGGATTACATCTTAAGATCACCTGCAGAATTGCATGATAATCAAATCCGATTTATCAATGGTATCAGCATTATTACGATAAGGCTTCAAACAATCTTTTTTCAAAATGATATCACCTACTGTAAACATAGCTGCCATCAGCTTATCTGACACTTATCTCAAAATCTTTAGTATTCACTTTCAGTTTAAAGCAAGAAAATGGACTAAACGGTAATTTAGATCTACTAATAGTTTAACACAGCTGCCATCAACCGGTCAAAATGCTTACTCGTCATCACGATTTATCTCAAGATCTTTATCCCCCTCCACAGGGACAATCTGAGCAGCTGCTGAAAACTGTCCCTTATATATATATTTTATAAATTTTTTTTTTATTTTTCTTCGAAATTTAATATAAAAGTTAAGTTAAAAACTTCTGATACTTATTCTTGGGTATCTGAAGATTCTTTGTACGAAATTTAACTAATAGTTAATGATAAAGTTAAAAATAATCTTAACCCTAAAGTTGAACGTTTATTTACAATGTTTCTTAGTCAAAGACTGACACACTGTCAATAATTATAATAATATATGTTCCTTAAATTCAAAGACCGACTCATCGTCAAAATAATTATGACAAAATATTTTATAGTGGGTTAGTTTTTTTGACTTAAGGAACATAGTAAAGAAACTTTCAACTTTAGGATCAAGATTATTTTTAACTTTATCATTAACTGTTACTCAAACTTTGTATAAAGGATCTTCAGGAACTCGAGAATAAGTAACTAAAATTTAAATTTGATTTTTATTTTAATTTTGATAAAAGTTTTTTTTTTTAAATTTACTTATAAAATTTAAGCACGTCATTTAATTTGATCAATACGTTTGCGATTGTAAACGACATGTCCGCTGACTGTTAGTTCAAATATTTAAACATTTATTATTTAATTTTATTTTAAATTGAGTATACATTTATATAAGGTAAATATATTGGTTATATATTATATAACTTAATGATCATCTATCTAAAAATAGGCTCCCCATTATATCCTCCGTAATAAACTAGTGTTTATCGATATTTCTTAATATTATAATCATTAATTTAAACAACTAAAACAAAAGATGTTTAAGCATATTGAATCATTCACCGCGTATGGTGTCTTAAAATATTAAAAAAAGCTGTAAGAAAAACTTTTGATATAAAAATAATTTTTGTTATATAAAATTAAATCTGAGATGGCATGTTACCCTATTGTCGCGAAATAACGCCCCGGGGAAACACATCATTTCTAGAGAGCTATAATTTAATTTTGCCGATTTTTAAAAAATAATTCTTAACTCTCCAGAAGAGTTGTATCTCGAAATAACGCCTGTAAACGTTATTTCACAATGATATAATACATAAAACTAGCCAATGACATGAAACAGATTGCATAAGTCTGCGTGGCATAAATGTATTTTTTCATCAATATAATATGCATATCAAAACATATAATTCGGGCACCATGCATGTCACAAAATTTTAATAATAAATAAAATAATTTTTAAGAATAATATATTACCTTAAGCTGTATTTCTTGGCTCTTATAAATTTTCAAATTCATAAATTCGACTTTTATTTTGTGCAGTAACTAAAAGTAGGCTTTCATCCCGTTCAGTGGCTGAAATTTGACTTTTACCTTTTTCAACCGTTGCTAAAGATGAGTCTTTATTCTTTTCAGTTACTAAAAGTGTGTTTTTAATCTCTATATTTGAAGGTAATTTTTTCTTCTTTTTACGTTTAAATTTTGATTTAACAAAATTTATTAGCATTTTCTTTTTAGATATTTTAATTGGAATAAGCTTTAGTTCTTTATAAACGCCATCAGTTTCGTAAATTTCTTGAAGTAAGTTTGCCATTTTTTTCATAATAGTTTTAGCGTCCGGCCTATTTTTTGGACATGCATCCCAGCATTTAATCATTAAATCTGCGTAATCAGGCGGGGTCCCATCGACAACTTTAGGTCTCATGCCATTAATTATGTCAAGAGCAAGTTCATTATCCGGTTTTTTCATTTGATCATAGAAAGGTTGCATACCTGAGCTGATTTCCCACATAATCATTCCTAAACTATAAATGTCTGATTTTATTGTATACGAATTATTATGTAATACTTCAGGTGCAATATAAGGAAGGTTTCCATAAATTTGATTCGATTTTTCTAATGGTTTATATATGCCAAAATCACCAACCACACAATGAGGTTTAGCTTCATCAACAAGGATATTTTTTGAATGTAAGTTTTTATGTATTTCCTCTTGATTATGTATTTTTCTAATGCTATTGGAAATATTTCGTACCATTTTAAATCTTGTCTTCCAAGATAATTCTTTTTTTGCAAGAAATTCACTCAAGTTACTATCCATACATTGAAATACAATCATAAAATCCAGTGTATTGTGATTTCTAGTTAATCCATAACATTTTATAAGTGATTGTGAAAACCTTTCAAAAGTAAGACTCTTAATAGCCTAAACATGGAATTAAAGATTTAAATAATTAGTAAATTCACATGTTATTTAAAAGTGATAACTTTGAAATATGTGAAAAAAGTGTGTAGTGCGGATTGTCACGGGGTAGCACGTAAAAATGGTTCCCATTCCTGTGAATTGAAAATTTTTTGTTCTCATGAGAGTATACGTTTGGATTTAAAAAAATAATTTTGCTTGAAAATATGTTTTCTATATGAATACATATGTATAATACTGAATGAAATTTACAATTAGAAATCGAGTGAAGGTTCGAAAAGAAAATGAATTAACATAAAAGATAAATGACACTAAAATAGGATCATAAATAAGCATTTATTATTGAGAACATTAAATTAAATAAATTTGTTCTCGCGAGAACATAAATCTCAAAATATAGTTTCTACACTGGTCTCTAGTCTAGTTTCTATCCGGTTAGCGTGGAGTTTAGAGTTTGGTGCAATCGATTACTTGAATACTTGTTGAGCCCAATATATGTATTCTACGCATATACATCATGTTTGAAGTTACAACTTCAGATGTCTGAAGTTGCACCTGGCTGAAATTAACACGAATTAATTAGTAATTTTAGTCAGGTCAACTTCGGCTCTTGAAATTGCAACTCAAGTTGATACTACTTTGAATAAATGTCCACTACATCTATAAAACAATCTCGATGTCAATCTGTCCGCGTATCTGACCACTTTTTACCACTTTTTTCAAAAAATAAGGCCTATATTTCAAAACAATTAAAACAAGATCCATTTGTATTTAATATACTATAGCTAGAGCAGGTTTTATTTTCCATATATTAAATTGGCTAAAGCCGGATTAACATACGAGAAATTAAATTGGCTCTAACCCTGTAATGTATATACGTTTTTATAATAAGACATTTGGCTCTTGTATATTTGTTCGCATAAAAAACGGTACCTACATTTTTTAGCCATAATTCATCCGCTGTCTTTGAATTCTTTAAACTTTTGAGAATATATACGTCATTGTCACCTCTCTTTAACACCTGTTTTTCAGCATCCCATTCTTTAAATGGACCGATTTCCCACTTTGCAATATACACTGAAGAAAAAACACCATCTTCTTTAAATTCAATATTTTTAAAATTCTCAAAAGGAATCCATTCAATTATGTGTGATGGAGATACAGCATTAAGTTGACATTCACGGATTAATTTATCAAGTTCATTATTTCTTGTAGTCCATTCGTTAAAATGCTTTTCTAAATAATTGCGAATACAGCCTTCGCAATAAGTAATTGCGATAACTTGTTTATTACAATATTCACATTGCCTTTTTTCTCCAGTTTCTTCTATTATGTTTTGTGCATCTCTAATTATTATCAGATCATTTATTAGATAATCTACTTCTTTTATCGTTAGTATTGGATTATTTATAATTGTATTGCAAATAGACTTAAAAATTTGAGATGGATTTAAATTAGGTCCTTTACAGATTATTCCTCTTTGGCGGCAATCAGATACTTCATCAGTTCGAATAGATTTGTCTTCCATTTTCTGCATGTTGTTTGGGAAACTGCATTTTGGCATTAATTCGGCTTATATAATTTATGTGCATTCTTACGTAATGCTAAACATATAAAGTTAGTACGTATAGGCATACAAAACATTATTCTGCAACGTTTTTATCAATTCATTTGATATAGATATTACTTATATATTTTGTGAATTTGTTAAAATAAGTTTAATAAGAAATACGTATACTCTAATTGTTTATTTTAGTGCTTATCTATATGAAAAAAAAAGAAAATAATATATTTGTATAAGGATTACGTACAGATATATGTATGTACGTATTACGCATATACATACATAGCAGATTATTAAAAATTCTTGTGCCTGAATGTACTACCGATGCAAATACTAGAATCAGTTTTGTCTGAAATCCGGAAAACAATCACCATATATATAGTATCATAGGCAGAAGTTTGTCTAATTGGCTAATAAATTCAATTTAATTTTAGATTATTTATACAGTTTAGAGTACTTTTGAAAAAAAACGAAAACTAATCATAATGAAATGAAAAAAGCTGTATGGAAGGTTTCATGAGAGCTGTAGGACTCCACAGCCAAAAATAAGATCTAATTCTCGTCCGTTTTAAAGAGTTAGTATAGAAATAACTTCTTAAAACCAACTTATTACTAAGCTAATTTTTTTAAACGGACGAGAATTAGATCTTGTTTTTGACTATGGAGTCCTACAGCTATAATGAAACCTTCTATATAGGGGGTTTTTTTTTATGGTTTGTTTTGGTTTTGTTAAAAAGTACTCTAAACTGTATAATAATGTAAATTGAATTTATCAGTCAATCAGACGATAATATATAGTAAACTTGTAAGTTTGCGTAACATGACAACAAAATGCATGATTCGGACGAGATTTATCATGATAACAATAACAACAAAAACACAATATAAAGCTGTAGACAAATTAAGAGCTTGAGGGGTAAGGCTTTTAAAGTTATTAATAATCTGAAGTCATACGTACAGTATAACATGGAAGTCTTCATTCATTTGTTTTTCAGCTTTATTCATGCTAATTGATCTTTTTTTCACATATGTCCGAAGACTATATGAAGCGACTTTGAGTTTTTACATTCCTTTCATTAATTCGCACCTATTTTGGGATTAATATCTTCATATATATAGACAAAGTTGGCAATAGAGCTTAATGGAGTCAATATAGTCCGAATGGACCCTAATGGGCTACTATCAATGAGTTCTTTGGAATTCCATTGTGCTCATGTGGAACCGTCAATGTTACACAGATGTGATGTAATATCACATATATACCAACCAATCAAATTGCAAATATTAAAAAATGAATCCAAATGAAATTAATTCAAATTTAAAAAAGATACTTATTATACTAAACGATTAACCAAATCTTTTAATTATAATATTTTATACGTACACTATAAATGTTATATTTAATTCAATTCTAGCAATAGCCAAATTAGTGTAATCGTACCGAGATCATGTAATAGTCTTAAGTAGCGAAACCTTGGATCACCGAAAACTTAGTAGCAACCGTGTTAACGGATGAAACTAATAGTTTCAAGGATCTAAAAGTTCGATCATCATGCCTCTTAATAGTTCGTTAAGTATAAAAGAGGGGCCTTTAAAGCCTTTAATAAAATCTACAGTCTTCGATGTCTTAAATGGTTGAATAGAATCGATTTCTCGAATGAAAACTAATTAATAAACGTTATATTGAAAAATCCGTTAAAATCCTTATTACTTTTCGATTAATTAAATTTATTACATAAGTATGACTATCACTTAAATTGATTAATTACCTGATCCTGAATAAATTGGTTAACCGATCCTTGTTAAATTACCGATACACGTGAACAAGCCATCATAACCGACAGTAATAACTTCTCATTCCGGGCATTATATACGCTAAGCTCTCCCAACAATATTAACACTATTTAGCTAGTTTTTGAGATATAGAACCATGATGTTAAACACCACTGGTACGATTCAGTAAAAAGTTTCCCATCTATTTTAATAACAAACCATGTTAAGCAAAAAATAAACTGGAGTATGTAAAATATACAGAAAATTTATAATATAAATACTTTAAATCTGTCAACCGAACTTGCAAAGTGCAAAGAAAAACTTATGTAAAACTTACGTAAATTTATTTCGCATAATAAATATCACCATACTAATTGCCCCACATTACACCATTACTTTAAATATATGAAAACCAGAAATTATATGATGTTATTAATTGTGTTACACGAAACTATAAAATTACTCAGGCTCATTGTATTTGTGCGACATCTTTCTTTGAAAAAAATTGTTATTTATCGAAGTACATAACCACAATTACTTGAATAAGTAAAATGCGAAACCTATGTATGTAACAAAGTGTTTAATAAATATATTTTTAGTTACTGATTAATTTCACAATTTGATTAGATTACAAAGGTGTAATTTATATTTATTTATCATATGTTAAAAACCGTTTTGACCAAATCAAAATAGATCTATATCAACATCTTTAGATTAGATAGATCTTGTATGTAAATTGAGTAAATATTTTATTTAAAGACAAAACTTTCTATTTTTTTATTTTTTTTTCTTATTAGCTTGTCATAAAAAAATGGCAATTTTAAGCAAATATAGTTTAGAAAAATATAATAGTTTACTACTACCTGAAATTGCAAATAATGAATTAAAAAATAAAAATGCCGAATTTGATGAATTAATAAAAAATATTACCCCTATTATCAAAAAAAATAAAATTGAATTAGGACTTAGATTACTACATGGTCATAATATACCCTTGAAAGGTGAACAAGCTATGGTCGAGAAGTTTGATTATTTTCAAGAGGAACCCGCATTAATTACATCGGCCGATTCTCCGAATGCATCATATCCAGCAAGTTGGATTCTAAGTGATGATCAGTATTGGGTTTTCGAGTATTCATCAGATCCCTACGTGAAGAAAGTATATGAAAGACTTGAAGATTCATCAGTGTTAGATGAAATTAGTGCACAAATCAGAAAGTACAAGTTAGATTCTTTGATTGGTCCTTGCATCACTGCAAGGGAAACGTTGAACAAGTTTGATATGAGTGAAGGTAAATCTTTCGTTGAACATACTATTAAGATTGAAGATAAGTTTGTCAATATTGTTCGAAGTAGACCGAACGATGAATCTGCAACTAATGGTATAAAAACCATTTGGGGGGTGAAGATAAACGATTCTTGTATTACAAACATTCCTTGTTTCTGCTGTATTAATGATAATGATAATAAACGTCGACATTTTGTTTAAATATTATAAATAGTATATAATTAACATTTCTTTAAATATTTTACTCTTTATAAGTATACTTGCTATTCAAATCCTAGACTGTTATAGTTATCGCTTGTCTACACCAAAATTTCAAAACTCTGCCCCAAAAAGATAAAATATAGTATAAGTAACATCTATTTTAAGTAATTGATTATTTATTAAGGTGTCCTATACTATATTTTATAAATGACTGTCTTTTTGGGCTTTGAATTTATCCAGATTTTCTGGCAAGTATATCTACAAAATAAGTACTTAGCAAGAATTTTATGTAAATTTTATTCAAAAATGTATAAATAAATGTATATGTTATTCATTCAGTTTGTTTATTTATAGCTTGACATATAAATACAATAATGTTTATGTGACCAGTATGTTTTAATACACTGCAAAAACTTTAGGAAATTTTTATAAATTCTTCAAAATAATTTATAGTAATTGAGTTAAAAACAAAAAGCATTCATTACAGTCAGACCTCTCTAAATGCATAGCCGTGGGGCGGCCAAAAACTCTTGCGTTTAGAAAGGTATTGCATTTAAGGAGGCAAAAATCTATAAGTGTCATATGAATTGGGGACAAACAAGACAATGCATTTAGAGAGGTCTTTCATAGACTATGCATTTAGGGAATATGCATTTAGGGAATATGCATCTAGGGAGGTCTGACTGTATTTATCTTCTTCTGATTTTTGTTTACTTAATTATTTTTTTTCTGTGCAAATTTGGACTTTTGTTATACAGTCCTCGGTGCAGCACACCATTGTGATACTACGTATTATCTTATTCATGTTCTGATTTACATGCAGCCTTTTTAGTGTTTCCGGACCAGATCGACGTTGACGTGACGCCGAACTAATCACATAATAAGGATAGGCACATTCTCAGACTTTCTGCAGCCCGAAGTATCCGTTATTTGGCTGATAAATCACAAAATTGAGTGAAGTATACATACAATACTGTTATTAAAAATACCCTAAACCTAATCAATAAGGTTGCACGTTGTTATAGTAAAAGGCATAGAAATTTTAGGTATCAAAAATGAATGTTTGGCGGCAATTTTAGGGGCACATTAATTGAATATACAGTAAATATCTATTGTGACGCTTCACGGTTGCCACGTGACTGGCCGTTAAGACATGAAAAGTAATAGAATTTTACTTTTCTTACTTCTATTACTTTTCTTACTTTTGTTAATTCGGGCATATCGGTGTAATATGGGCATCGATATTTCATATTTTTTTAGTATTAATAATGGTTATACAGACGATGCGATGTAAATAGATAATATAGAATAAGTTATGTTCAATTGCAAATATTAATACAGTACCAAAAAAAAAAAAAAATCCAATGCATTTGATAGATTTAAAACAGGGCTAAAACGACATATAGTAAATGCTGGCCATCCAAAATGTTGTTTTTGATCTAAATACATTAAAAGTAATATATCAACAAAAATAATAGTATTAAAATTTTGATCGAAACAATTGCGAATCAACAATAACACATTGGATACTAAATATCGGTTTAGCTCTGATTTGAAATAAATTTATTTTAATAATATATAATAATCATTGATTAAATTTGCTTTATCATCTATTATATCATTATACTCCAGAATTAAATATGAACATCTTCGCATGGGATAATACTCTTCATCTGGTTCAGATACTAAAGACGTATCATCAGGGATAATGTCAACCAAACAATACTCCTGATCTTGTTCAAAAATTAAAGATGTATCATCGGAAACATTTTGCTCATCATGTTTCATGAATAAAATTAGACGTTTATTCATATTAATGCTTCTTGTAGAAACATTATATTTGTTGAGATTTTTTAAAACTTTGAACATTTTAACAATTTCTTTGCCGCTTTTTAAAATTTTCTGTTTTCTGGATTTTTTAGGAATAATCGGAGTAAGCTTCAATTCAAATTTATCTTCCTTTTGATAAATATCTTTAAGTAAATTTTCCATCCCTTTCATAATTGTTATAGCATCAGGTCTATTTTCTGGATCAACATCCCAACATCTGATCATAAGATCTACATAATCAGATGGAGTTTCCTCAATGATATCTGGTCTCTTTCCTTTAAGTATTTCTAAAACAATTCCTGAATTCAGTTCATAAAATGGAGGCTTGTGCGCAGAGATTTCCCACATAATCATTCCTAAACTATATATGTCAGATTTTTTTGTGTGGGATTTACCATACCATAGTTCAGGTGCAATATAAGGAGCGTTTCCGTAAATTCGATTAGATGAACCACAAAGGCCAAAATCAGAAACTACGCAATGACAATTATCTTCATTGACTAAAATATTTTTTGGATGTAAATCTCTATGTATATTCCCTTTATTATGCAATTTTCTAATACTATTAGCGATATTTCGAACCATCTTCAGTTTCGATTTCCAAGATAATTTTGGATTTTTTACAAGAAAATCACGTAAATCGCTATCCATTTTATGAAGAACGAGCATAAAGCTATCAGACTTCGGATCTCTAGTTAATCCATAACACTTTACAAGAGACTGAGAAAATTCTTCAACAGTAAAACTAGTTTCAATCTAAAAGAAATAAATAAAATTTTTAATAAAGTTTATAATATTATACCTAATTTTCACCCTAGGTGATATTGTCGCATCTGAAATGTCGATTTATCTAAAGAAGCCACTCTATATAGTTAGGGTTTAATTTTAGCTAGGCGCTACGTTAGATAAATCACTACTTTAGATGCAACAATATCACCCAAAATTATAAAAATTTTATTATATGTAAATAAATTTAATGTTAGGGGTTAGGGTTTGCTTTAGGTTAGATTAAAAGAGCTTAGATATATGTAAAATTTGAAGCTGAAATTATAACAAAATCTTGAGTTATTTGAAATTCGCTTTGCTTTGGTTACACAGGACCCAGCAATCTGATTGGTTTTTATACAACTAGATCACCTAACAGGAGCCGTCGATGTTACACGACTGATCCTTCACCCGGCGTGCAACATATAAAAAAATTATTTTACAATTAGAGATGGGCAAGGTAATTACTTATTACGTAAAAAATCAAATCACATTATGCAACAATTTACTAATAATATATACTTACAACTAATAACATGCTAAATTGGTGCATAGTGTGATTTAACTTTTTACGTAATAAGTAATTAACTTGCCCATCTCTAGATATGATAGTACCATATAGCGTGGACTAAAATACCCAGGGTACTTTACAATTTAAGCAGTATATATGGGTATTATAGTCGGAGGGATACTATGGTCAGCATGGGGGTATAAGTTGCACTATATGAGTGCCGCAGTAATATTTGAATATTTGTAATCAAACTGAAACTCTAATGATAAATTTTTTATAAATTGA